TTTTGGGTATTACAAACTTCATGCCAATCTAAGTAGTATGTCCTGTTGAGGGTATAGATAAAGGAAAGACACGTACTTCAGCTCCAAAAATTAATCAAAGCCTTATGTGTTAGCGATGAAAATATGTAGTATATGCAGAACGCTTAAAGCTGCTAACTATATTGGGCGAACTCCATAAATGAAGTCGCCTATAAGTGAAAAAATAGAAATACGTTTTTCGAATTCGCAAAAACGTACGTAAAGCATGGTATCGTGTTTTATTCGAAAGTAACTTTAATGAAATGAAGTTTAACATATTTGTACCTGATTGTTGCAACAAAGTTTGGCAAAAGTACATATATGTAAATGATCAGGATGCCGAGACAAGTTGGAATCCGGATGACTGTCTGTTCGTCTATCTGCCACGCCCCAAAATACTGTTAGGGGAAAACCTTCAAATTGCTACAACTAAGCAAGAAATAAGATATGGAATTTGGAAGAGGTCATCGAAGTAGGCGCGACCCCGCTCTTTAATAACTAAATAGTAATAAAAAATTGACATTGGACATGAAGAGTAATGCTATACCTCAGAAACTACTGGATCAATTTCAACTGGATTTAGGTATACTGTACAACAATATGAAAATTAACGATATTAGACTATGACCACGCCTATTTTCCTTATATCACAATTTTAAATTCCGTTTGATTATTTTGCTTTACGGTATATAATACGAAACAAACCTTAATGAAGGTATGGGAATAATACTTTGCACAAAGAGTGCCTTCGAACCATAACTTTTAAATTTCCTTAAAGCCTTAAGCTCGCGAGCGAAACCAGCTTATCTACTCTCACTTGTACAGAACACATCGTGTTTAACTATGTTTTAAATTAAAATTATTAAAATCATACACAACTGATAAGTAATTTCGATTTCTCTGCTATTTGCATTTTCCTTATAAAAATTATAAAATACTTTTATAACATACTGTCTGCTGAAGTATGAGCGCGGCGTTAACGTTGGGCATAGCTGTTTTAGAGATATATACTGGTGCTGACGATCGGTCCATACGTTTCTTGAGCCTAGTCTACCTTCTTACATTACACATAAATTTGAATGCGTTTTCATTAGTCATAGTCATATTTTTTATACTTAATAAAGCATCTTTAGGTACAACATTCCTTTGCGTCGCACTCTGTTTCGCTCCAGTTCTCAAGTTAAATATGATATGTAACGATTGCATTGTTTTTGTTTTGAATACAAGATTATGTATAATTCAATTTTCGTTGCGAATTGTTAAGATATCCAATGATGGGTTTCGCATTGTACACATACATCGTGTGCACGCACGCGAGCACAAGTGGGTAAAGTGCATTGCCTGCACACCGCTTACTCTACCTTGAGTTGACATGAGTACATGTGATTAGAATTACTTTATAGTACATATATATACAGCTAAAGTACTCTTCTGAAGAGATTGCTGCGAACGTCGCGAAAATTTGTTAGCCTGGTTAATTATGCATGTGAGAAAAGTTATATACTGGGTATGATGATTATAACGGTCACCATGATAGCGAGCTGGCAACAGTTGCTACAGGTTCGGCGTTTCTATCTCTTGCATTCGTGTTTTTTTTTTTTTAATTCGAACAAAAATTCTTTTTATTTATCGGCCTGTGTGTGTTTGTGCTTTTTAAGTATATGTGTGTATTTATATTGTAATGCATTCAATTGCATGCCGCGTGTGTGGCATGTTATCACTACGAAGTCTTAAGCCGTCTATGGTGTGAGTAGTATGCCGTGAATGAATGTAATGTTTCATCAAAGGAAGTCACCTTAATAACAAATCAGCGTGACGTTTCTCTTTTTTTATATTACTATAAAATGTAGACATGCAGTGGATTGCACTCAAAATGGTACAATTCATATAACAAAAGAAATGATATCTTATAATATTACATTATGATTACATTAAATTAAAAATAGTTGAAATTATTACTCTAATTTCTACTTCTGATAAATAAAAAATCAAAAAAGATTATATCCGTTACGAAGTTTGTAAACGAAAAGAAGGAAACGTCGAAGACTCTATAAAATATATTTATAAATGATTAGCGCAACGAGATGAATCAATTTCGCCATACCCGTCTGTCTGTATATACGCGAGCAATTCCTCAGTTTGTAAGATATTGATCTGAAATTTTGTCTACATCCTCTTCTCCCCAGGAAGCCGTTCATTTGTCGGAACCGTCGATATCGGACCACTATTGCATATCGCTGTCATACACACTGAGCGATCAAAATCTAGAATACTTGTAAAGACATTTTTTATTTGTGCAGGCTGTTTAACCGAAGTTGACGTTTTTATACTCTCGCAACATGTTGCTACAGAGTATAATAGTTTTGTTTACCTAACGGTTGTTTGTATGATCTAAAACTAATCGGAGTTTGGTATGAAGAAACGCGTTGAAATCCAGGTGACTGTCTGTCCGTCCGTCCGTCTGTGTAAGTTGTAAATAAAAATTTAGATATCTTTATGAAACTTGTTACACATATTTCTTGGTACCGTAAGACGGTTGGTATTGCAGATGGGCGTAATCGGATCACTGCCACGCACGAAAACGCCATTAATCAAAAATAAATAAATTGCCAACTAAGCTCCACAATAAGATACAAGACTTATTTGGTACACAAGATCACATTGAGAAGGGGCATCTGCAGCTTAAAATTTTTTAAAAAGTGGGCGTGGTCCTGCCCCCTAAAAGGTTTAATGTGCATATCTCCTAAACCACTAAAGCTATAATAACAAGATTCACTGAGTACAAATTTTTTTAGCACTACTATCGACAGTGTGAAAATGGATAAAATCGGGGGACAAGCCCGAACACTCCCGATATATCAAGCACTAAACACGCCAGAGACATTAAATTTTTTCTCTGGAATGGTATGAGATGAATTTATAGGAAGCGCTTTCAAAGTTATACAGTGGGCGTGGCACGCCGACTTTTAGCTGAAAACCCATATCTTGCGATTTGCTTAAGCGATTTCAACTAAATTCGGTACATAACATTCTTCTCAAAAAATGGGCGAAATCGGACTACAACCACGCCTATTTCCCATATAACACCATTTTAAACTCCGTTTGATTCTTTCACTTTCCAGTATACAAATCAAGCAACAATGTTTGTATCGGGGTAAAACTTTGCGTGAATAATGCGTTTAAAGAATGCCACTTGTGTGCGTTGTGACTAAAACTTGTCTAAGTCGAACTAAAACTGCTCAAGCCTGCTTTTTACCGAAAATATCGGTCAATGTATAAGATATATAATTGAAGTAATATATGAAACTCGATAATAGTATGTTTTTGTGTCAAAAATGGGTTGAATCGGATCAATACTTCCTATAGCCCTCATATACCTAATATAATTTCTCATAATTTGAGTGAATTTAGTTTACAAATTGCTCTAATAAATTTCACTGTGAATGTAAAATATTAAAATATTATATATAAAGAAATCTCAAACAAGCATACCATTTGACTTTGCGAGAGTATAAAATGTTCGGTTACATCCAAACTAAGCCCTTCCTTACTTGTTTCTTGTATTTTTTCACAATTAATGGCAATAAACGAGGAAGTTTAAGTTTTTTTTTTATATAGGATACGTTTATCGTTTTCAAGTAAACATGCTCATTTAATTTTATTAAGATATTTTACCTGGAAAATGTCCATGTCTGGTATAATGGGTTATGAAAAAGTGTGCTGAAACTCTTTCGATCGGACCATATATTGTATAAAAATACTATTTATTCAATGTTCAATTTTGATATATGTAAAAAATGAATACGGAAAGATTTTTATACTCTCGCAATATCTTGCAATACGGAGTACAATAGTTTTGTTAACCTAACGGTTGTTTGTAACATCTAATACCAATCGAGATAGATACAGAGTTATTACAAGATGGCATTCTTATCTTATGTTGAAATCGGAAATCCGACAAATCCGCGCCTGCTTTCCATTTATCAAAATTTTAAATTCTGTATGATTCTTTTACTTTACACAATATAAATCTAGCACCAATGAAGTTGAAACCTTGCACAAATGGTCATGTTGGTCAAAATGTGTGATATATTAATGGATATAAATGGATTTTTGAAATATGATGTGGTTTAGCGCTGAATATGAATGAAATTGGTCTAGACCGTTCTCTAATCCCTATATCCCTAATATAATGACTGTCGATTATTTGGTTGCCTTTTTGTTGAAACCAAGTAAGTCTACGACCTACATAAGTCTTACATAAGTACGACCTACATTAAGTTAAAAAGATACCAATGAAATTGCAATTCAGCTGACTTTAAACGGCATATGTATATCGGCTATTGAAAACTTGGCCTAGACCTAATATAACATATATCAGGATTGTTAAACATCTAGTTATCTTTATACCGCAAATATTGTTAATGTTTTGTGAGGTACCTTAATGAAACTCAGAGAGCACCTTCTTGATATAGTTTAGTGTCGAAAATATGTAATTAGGCCACGAATTATATATTATGTGTTCGAGCATACCTGAGTAATGTCAAAAGTTTGTGCAATCAAGCCATATCTTTTCTGTTCCCAATATACCCTAATAGTGATTACCGACTTCCCAAATTTTGTAAAAAAATATAAAAAATAATATTTTATTACTGCAATATTAAATAAAGCTAATTGTGCCTATGACTTTCAATATAAGTTAATAAGATACCAAATTTGATTGTAATCCTTTTACAATTTCGATAAACGATGAATATATTTCACAACATATTTTAATATAAAATTTTGCTAACATCTGAAAGTGTTTCCTTTGATGCTTCCAAGTTGCAAGAGTATAAAATGTTCCGGCTAAACCTGAACTAAGTCCTTTCTTACTTGTTTTTATTATAAAGTTCTGCCAACAAATTGCAAGAGTATAACGAGCTTAGCGCTTTCTTACTAGTTACATTTGAAATAATAAAAATGCATTGTTTTTATTCAAGGAAATTCGTGATCACTGTGAACGTGAAGCTAGTGAAAAACAATTTGGCACTATTGAATCGGAGAAACCTTACAATCGCTGCCTAAACAGATACAGGGACGTAAACCCGTACGACCACTCTCGTATCATCATCCATAGGGGCAGTGTAGACTACATAAATGCAAACCTTGTTCAGGTAAGTCAGTAATAATAATAAGTAAATTAAGAGTTTACATGATTTTCTTCGAGAAAAAATTACCTATTTTCATATAAATAATATTTCATTCTAAATTTTTGTTATCTTAAAGATACACATTTGACAAGAATTTCTAAACTTTACGTAAAAAAACGTAATTGTGAAGTAATTTGTTAAGTGACCCCTCGGAATAAAGGTTAGACCTCGTGTAGGTAGAATTTCTAACGGGATCATCCAAAGAGAAAAATTACGTTTTTTAATTAAGAACATAAACAAGATTTTGAACAAAGGAAAACAAGTAAAATTTGACTTTTTACAGACATTTTTACAAAAAAAAAATCAAATTTCGGTGAACATTTCTGTATATTTTGTTTTTTAAATAGTTGTAATCGAAAAAGAGAAAAGGCCCTTCGTCCAAGTCATGGTGGATTATATCGAAGACCGTTGTAAATTTTTAGCAAGATCGGAAGATCATTTCTCGAGAAATCTTGGCTAGACAAAGGCGTGTTTAAAGTTTTGAGTGGCAATAGGGCTGGCCTTGAAAATTTAGGACAATATTCTAGAAATGTGAAATTGAAAAAGAAATTATATTTTTAGAAGCCGTAAAACCCATGTATCCTTTCTGCATAGAAAACAAATATGTACCTTATTTCTCTATTATTTTAATTCAGCTGGAACATGCCGATCGCAAATATATTTTAACACAAGGACCTCTAGTCGACACCGTCGGGCACTTTTGGCTAATGGTTTGGGAACAAAATACCAAAGCCATTCTAATGTTAAACAAATTAATGGAAAAGAAACAAGTTAAATGTCATCACTATTGGCCGGACAGAAAGGGTCCTGATAATGCGTTAAGATTAAAAGAAGTTGATTTAACCGTGGAGTTTCTTCGTTGCGAAGAATATCAGAACTTCTGTCGAAGATGGTTCAAGTAAGTAGATACACGATTAAATTAAACAAGATGTTAATTTAATTGAAAAATGGACAAAACTCATTTTAAGGTTAACAGATCTGGAGGCAAACACCAGCCGTGAAATATTACAATTCCACTACACAACATGGCCAGACTTTGGCATTCCTAGTTCGCCAGTAGCGTTTCTACAGTTTCTAAAACAAGTGCGTGACTCAGGAGCACTCGATGCCGATGTGGGGCCAGCAGTTGTGCATTGCAGTGCCGGTATTGGCCGTTCTGGTACATTTTGTTTAGTTGACTGCTGTTTAGTTTTGGTTAGTTAATTTTTTTTATTTTAAATGTGAGACAGTAATATAACATATTTCTTATTTTACCTGCAGATCGAAAAGGAAGGCGAATCGAATGTTTCTGTGCAGGATGTTCTTTTTGAGCTGCGCAGATATCGCATGGGCTTAATACAGACTGCAGATCAATTATTTTTCTCTTATCAAGCAATTATAGAGGGTATTAAATTGCTCAAAGATCCAGTAAGATATTTTATATACTTCTCTCATTCGGTGAATATTTAAAAATATTAATATGCGAAATGATTGTAGGAATTTCTAAATTACAAGGAGACTCCAATTACCAGCAGTAGCAGTGCACATGAGCAGTATGCTACAGATGTAATAGCTAGTGGCGATGTTCCACCACCGTTGCCACCACGCACACATTCCCTAACACTGCCAATGGCCTGTTGTAGCCCTGCCGGTTCATTAACGTTGAACCTACACGGTAAACCATTACCAAAAATACCAGCCAGCGAAAGTTTTAACGAAGAATTATACGCTCTCACCGACAATGCAAATCACACCAGCAAGGATGCATTGAATAATTTCATAAACAATGAAAAAACAGAAGATAGTTTGTCGAATAGACCGCTGCCACCTTTACCACAACAGCCTCAATTCACTCAAGCCTCATTGGATCGTGTATATGAATCAGAGAGTGATGAAAATGAATGTTACGAAAATGATGAAAGTGAAGACGATAATGATGAGAAAATTAAAGAACAAAGTGATGACAATTTGGACGATATGAAAAACGCTAACGCTGTCCATGAACGGAGTATAAGAAGTGAACGGGCTAGCGGCGGTGGTGGCGGTGGTGGCGGGAGCGGGAGCGTCTTTAATGAACAATTGGACGAAGTTAAGTTAAACGGCACCGATGTTTCAAAAAGTAACTCAAACACCGTAGGGTAAGTTAGCATCGCCTTTGTATGTAAGTGCATGATTCTTTAACAAGTTTATCAATTCTTTATAGAAGTCCCGAAAATGAGTTGAAGCGGCGAAAACGTGCCGAAAGACAGGCGAATATCGAGCACAAGGTGAACGAGATCAAGCGAAAGCAACGAGAAACCGAAGAGAGCAAACATGCGGCGAAGAAACGAAGGTCATTAATTACCTATATTGCGGCGGGTGTTGTTGTGGGTGTGATTTGTGTGTATGCATATTCGAAACTAGCCTAAAGCAAAACAAGAGTTGCAAATAATGGTAAATACAACTGAGCGGCGTAAAGGTCGCAGTCAGCATCAATTGATAGTTAACTTTGTGTAGCGCACATGCTCTAAAGCGCTCCATCATTTACATATACAATAACGCTCTCGCCAATAATATCGATAACAATGCGAATATGTTATTATTTAGAATATTTAATGTTGATTGAATTAATCAAAGTTAATATTTTGCATGTAATTGAGACGCAGATTATCCAAATACATTAATTCATTCATAAATTAACCACAAATAGTATATAGTTATCTACATAAGTTGAATAAGATGGAAAATCTAGAACCAAATTTGTAAAATGTTTACTTTGACTTACTTTCCAATGCATTTGCATAATAAACATTTTTCTCCTTTATTGACATAAATACCTAGAGCTCTATATTTTAACGTTGGTTTCAGTTATTTACATCCACAACACGCACAAGAAACCACACCCTATGCACCTAAAATTCATACATTCTGGCATATTTTTACATATATTATTTTTTTTTTATAAGTCTCAGCCAATTTATTTTCATATTTTGCAATCTAACTACAAAAACCAATTGCTAAACATGTATATGATTATTTGTAGAACCCTTTAAATTCAAGACAGCTATCTTTTGACCTTGGACCAAACTATTTATAACAAAGAAATTCAAGTCGAGCGTCGAGCGCCCAAAATGTGTCTTGCACACTTCCTATTATTTTGACCAATCCTGTAGAATTTCTTCTTACTGGTTTAAGGCCAATAGTTGTTAGTATGAGTTTAAATAAAAATTTAAGGTTTACAAAATAGCAAAATAATTTCAGCTCGATTTGTATATGTAATTAACCGCAATAGACTGAGAATATGTATAACAAAAACTAGAACAAATTACATCTTTGTAAATATTTACAATTCATAACATTATAAAAATAATAGAAAACATAAGATGCGTAGTTCTAAGTTAAGAAATGCCACACTTTTCTTTCTAATTGCACCAGATGTTTCGGAAGAATTTTCTTAAATTTCTACGGCATTTTTATTTTGAGTAATCCATAATTGTCCGAGTTTTTTTTTTTTATTAAATATTGCCAAAAGCTACAGATATCAAAATAATTGGAAATTTGTCAGAACTGTATTAAATGTTTGAAAATTGGAGCTAAACAATTGCAATTTTTTCTTTGTATATTAATAACTAATGCTAATAACGTTCAACCGTGTACAGACATAATCATTGTGCTGCAATGTTGTCAACTGTTGTTGCGAAGTCTTCTGAGGACAATCCTTAACTGGATAGGAAGTCCAAATTTCGTACGCTTACAGAGACCCTACTGTTAACGTTGTTCTAAAATATTGAAATGAGACTTTATCATTTGGCGTGAATAGCTCTAATAACCATATAAGCACGTGAATCCCAATGAATAGACAATGCTGACTCCGAATGCTGCAAGCGTATGTTATGTATTCAAAATAGAGTATTAGAGCAGTCTTCGATTCGCAATTTCTCCGTTCGCTTGTCTCTTGCTCTCTCCTCAAAAAATTTACATGTAAAAGCAACAACAAAGTTATCGAGTTGAATTCGGGTAAGAGACTATGTGGATAGCTCACTGAAGTGGTATAGCCGCTATTTTCAGTGCTTCGAGTTTTGATCTGTTTTACTATTGTGAATGGTTCAAATGGCAAATGAAAATACAATGAAATTCAATTATAGTAATTTATAAAAAACCAAAATAAAGGGTTACCGCAACGTTTTTTAACACGAAAAAAATGTATCCACTAAGAAAGAATTATAACATTATTGCGTCTGCGTCAGAAGACGTGTTAGCGCAGGGTTGTATCACAAGTGCTGATCTTTTTTTTGGAGCATCTGGTATACTTGGTCGATTCAATAGAGAGTAACGCTTGGCGAATCGAAGACAGCTATTGTTAATTCAGATTGAACGGCTTCTCACAACTAATAAAAGGAAGGAAAGAGCGAAAAAAGAGAGGCTTAACATTTATTTTCCACACACTAATATACTTATTATTAGAACAAACATGACAAAAATGTAAACTTTACATTTATCACAATAAAAAAATGCATAGGATCATAGAAGTAAGAAAAAAAAATACTGCGTCACATAGGGTTATAAAAATTCAAGTTTTCGTTTAAAAATCGTGGAAAACTTTTGGAAAAATAAAAATGTTCTTGTTGCGGGCGAAACCCTTACTGAAGCTGCAATATTTTTTAAACGCTACCGGTTTAGTAAATGCATTTCATTGCATTCTCATGTAATCTTTTTGTTTCGCAACATATTTTAGCATATGAAATATTGTTTCAATTTGTAACATGTCTAATTATAATGCGCAACTGTTAACTAATTGCACGATATCCACTTTTTGAAACTCGCATTTATGGACATATACTTTATTAAATATCAACAATCTATGATGATAGTTTTGTACACTCTTGTACCCGATACATTCATAACTTTTTATATAATAAAAACAAGTTTCGTTATTGAGGACTTAATATTCTAACTCGTACATATTATGTATGTCTGTTTATACGACATTCTTATAAGAAACTTATGATTTATATACCAATTATTTTTTATTTTAAATTTATGAAAGGAATTATTCGATAGTAAGTGCTAGTGATCGTATAGAATATGTCCTACTGAAAGTATTTGCCGATTATAACGGAAAGTTGGATATGTGTTAGCCAATATTACTGTTTGAAACCCTAACTCAAAACAATAAAATAGGCGTTAAAGCTTCCCTCTGACTATGAATTTGCGTGTTTAAATACATATAGTTACATTATACAAAGGGGAAATATAAAGCAATATCAATTTAAGAACACAGCGATGATCGGATATTTATTGTCCATTGAATTGGTCCAAAATAGGGAAGCACTTCAAAACAGAACTTAAATACTCGATCAAAAACCTTTTAAAAGATTGTCAAACAGAGATAATCGACAACTAAATATGAACACAAGAAATTTAAAAATAGCAAGGTAAAAAGTATAAGCTACAATATATAGCACGATATAACAACAAAAGTGATGGAGTTTGAAAAACGATCAAAAGTAATATCATATTTAGAATATATTAAAGTTTGATAAATTTAAGAAAAAGAGTGGAGGAGCTTTGCGTAGTTTTTGATCTTTTGGTATAAGCCCATACACATTATTAGTGTATAAATACATATATAAATATATATATATATACTAGTTTATATAGAAAACAATTTATTTTTATAAATACCGCAGGATGAAAAGAAAACACAACTATAACAAGAATCTAAGATTATAACGCAAGTATACACAAATGTACTTTTATATTATAATGATATATAACATTTACATAAAAACTAGTTTAAAAATGTAAAACAGAAAAATGAAATCCCTTTATAGTAACATACATCTAAAATTTAAGTTCTATGTTTTAACTACTTGAAAATCAGTAAAATTAATATGAGAAATAAAGATTATTAAGAAACGATGGCAAAATAATTGAATTTCAAGTGATTTCTTCCTAGTCATGCATGTAGTAGATATGTATGTACATATATATATAAAATTCGTAACTTTGTGTTGTATTAAAACCCGTCCATATTTGTTTTGTATGTGTTTTTCAGACGAATGAAGAAGTAATGATGATGAAGCTTGAATGGAATTGATGAATGGATGTTGCATAAGTGGATCATGACTAAGAAGATGTTGAAATGAACGAATTATGAGTGACTTTGAAAAATTTTCAGCTTCGCAGTAATTATCGTATGAATAATTAGAAAAACTGCGCGTCCAGCTGTATGAAAACTAACAACCAACAAAGAAGCAGCGGTATTATTCGAAAACAATTTCATAAACTCCGCATGTATGTGTGTGCTTAGTAGATGTGAAAATACTCGAATCAAATGCCTTAAGTAATCTAACTACTAAATTATTCCATTAATTGTCTTTATTCAAACAATGAATGAAATTAATTACTACGTTATTCAACGTAGCCATGCTAGTACTTGATAAAAAGAAGAGACAAAATCCTAAAAATACTATTAATATACCTATCAATCAAAAATACGATTGGGGAATATTTTATTTCGTATGTTAATAGTTTGGGGTTTATGTAAAAACCATCTAAATTTAAAACTTAATTGGATATTGTACAGGATATCATATTCAAATATAAATAAATCAAAACAATTAATAACTATACATAAATAACCTGTTATATGTACTACTATTACAAGTATTACTATTCTTTTCAAAAACGGCATGTTTACTGGGTATTGGACCAACCCATTTTTTCGAGGGACTTGAGTCATAAGCACAAAAACTTTTTCCCCGCTTTTCGAAGTTAGCCTCCAAAATCGATATATTTACCTTGCGAGTTTGAAGGGTATAATATTTATCTGTCAAGCTTATATAACAAATGCTATAAGCGACCAAAGTCAGGTCTTGGTAAAAAACAAAAAGTTTCAAAAATACTGATTTCATTTCTGGAAAATGATGTTAATGCATGTGTTATGTTATGCTTTTTCGTGCCTATGTATTTACTGCTAGCATCACCCGCGGCTTTGCTCACTTTGAATCCCTTAAATATATTTCAAAGGTCATTAACAGTTATATACCATATACAATCTGTAAACAATATATTTTTGAGTTGAACTTAATGGTGCCTATGTTTACTTCTCCTTACACTAAAATCCCATTATCAAAAAAATTAACATAGGAATATACATTTTTGTTTTTGCATTTTAAACTAAAAAATATAAAGAAGAAATACATGTAGAAAATTTGAACTGAATTACCTATTTACATTGTGTTTTTACTTCACTTAAAAAATAGTGTCGGGTGAACGCAGACTTTATTGGCTATGTGTACATATTATGTAAGTCCCTCATATGCTATTTGTAAAAAATTAAGCATTCGCACAAGTGACTAAAAATATTCATATTACAACGACAACAAATTCATTCATAATGAACGCGCATATGCTACAAAACGAAATACCATCGTTTATACCTCTGCACTGCGCTATTTTTTCTGTGTGCCTTGTCAACCAAATTTGGTTTTCATATGGAATTCCAACCAAAAATGCACGACATTTTTTTTTTATTTCTCAATATAAAATGAATGAAATAGAATTTGAAGAGTTTCAGTAAAATTGAAGAAAATTACAATTTTACAATTTGTATTACTGAAAAGCTACTATCCATACCCTCGCATTTACATGATACCCAGAAGCTACTTCCTCACGACGATGCTGAAAATCAGAAATTTAAGAATTTGTCTGACGTTCCCTTCAGAAAGGAGAATTGACAACATGCCCTATTAGCGACTTGAAATATTTTTTTAATTTACTTTATATAATTCATTATATATGACATTATATTATAAAATTGCTATTCGTATGAAATCTTTAATTACTTTATTTGTTCTAAGCACACTCCATACAGCATTTTTATATGTTTACTTATTATCATTATTTCATAGTTTTTCCATATAGCCCATTTTATCTAAATACGACGCTATGACAAAGCAGCGCAATCGGTAATCGTAATATTTCAAAAGAACATAAGTCAATTTTCAATAGCAAAGCACTGCAAAAACGACAAGCGTGATAACATAGCCGACCGACACTGTCGCTAAATTCTCAACTCAAACAAATTTTGTCAACTCCGCGACGATGTGCAAAATGGGCGTCAATATGTATGTGAACTCGTATGTATGTATGTTGGTCGGTAAAGTTGTCATTTGGCTTTTGTTAACGTTTTGTCAAAACTCAATTTTTTGCTCCGCCCCGTCTCCGCGCGAACTCGCCATTACTTCCATGATGTGCCATCATAGTCAGAGGCGTTTGAACGGAGGATTTTTATCATATTACTATATTGCTTAATTTGTATTGAGAAATACTGATATAAGACCTAAGATATAATATTTGCGTAAAAATATAAGTACACATAAATTCATTCCTATTTAAATGTTTTTAAAATAAATTCGATGAATTAATATATATCTGAAATAATTATGTGGCAGTGCGCCGCAAAGATTGAATTGAGATATGCTAAGATTCCAATTAATAAAATAAAAAAATTTTATTAAGTTTAAGTTTCATGAGTTTCAGGATTCGAACGTAAATACTCGTTTTTGGATTGACCTTAACTTCTTCATGCTTACGACCTGAGCTATCTCAAAAGTGAGAATGCGGCCGCTTAGCCTGTTTTATTGCTATCCTTTGATTATTAGATATTGTTCACGCAACCAGAGAATGTGTTGAAGAATTTATTTATTAAGTACTTATTTTATTGTAAATTCTGGTCTTTAACCAATAATCCTCTTACATAATTTGAGTTATTATATAAAATTACAAAAATTATTATTTTTTGGTAATATGCAAATGTATAGCAGCATTCCCATTATTCATTTATGAACATTCTTTGTGTCTGTAATAAATAATTTATTAACATTCTCTGGTTGGACCTTCTCCATAATCTACACGTTCTTGTAATCTACATTCTCTGATTTATAAAGTAGTATTTAACAAAACATCGTCCCTCGATAAATCTGGCAGTTACGAATTTCGCTGTCTAGTTGGTTCTGGCAATTTTCGTCGATTCGATTTTGTTCAACCGTCCGTGTTCGTCACAATAGAATAATTTCAATAACAAAGTGTGGCAACATAAACATAAACGTCAAAAGTCGAACAAAAGAATACTTTTAATCACAGATTATATCAAGTGTTTAATTTTAAATAAAATTAGTCAGTCATTTACACTTTAATTAATCCACTAAGAGAGGTTACAGGAATAATTCAAGTAAAACATGATGCCCGCTGCAGAAGAGGCACAGATTTCAAAGTTATTATCCAGGGTTTGTGTCTTAGTTCAGAATAATTTTTTTAATGCATAATTTATATTAAATCTACTTGTATATCGTAGTATAAAAACGTTAGTGCTACCAAAAAAGATGTTATTGACGTAATTACCACGTATCGCTCCTTGTCATATAATTTACAAAAATTCGGTGAGTTGAACTGTAAAGGGTGCTGTCTAGCAGCATAACTAGATTTAAATGTTATATATATATATTGTTTTTTAGTTTTCAACGACGGAAGTAATAAAGAGCTTTTCAATTTGTCTGGAACCATACCTGTTGTATATAAAAGTATTATTGTTCATATATTTGTCAATCAAAAGTAAAAAATTATATTTATCAATAGATAACACTTACTACATTCCAATATGCATATGGTTAATGGATACACATCCTCAAAATGCACCAATGTGCTTTGTAAAACCGACCCCAACAATGCAAATTAAGGTATCAATGTATGTGGACCATAATGGAAAGATTTATTTGCCATATTTACACGATTGGCAACCGGTGAGTGCCTCAATGAATTGGAGTTGTATAAAAATATGATTATAACATATCCCATTATTTAAGAAAAATTAAAAAAAAATATCACTCTAATATAATTTTTATTTTAAATAAAGCATACATCGGATTTACTCTCTCTCATACAAGTAATGATTCTGACGTTTGGTGATCACCCACCAGTTTTTTCCAAACCTAAGCATCAGCAGCCAAGTCAGTATATAGGTATGTAATTGTTATAAAACAATTCAACGATATAAATCATTCAAATCTACATTCCAACATATAGGGTTACCTTTACCTACAGCTGGCGCTGGTAGCGGAGGCACATTCCCTCCTTATCCGCCAGCAAATAATTTTGGAATATATCCACCATATCCTACCGGAGGTAATTCCTCTGTGGCTAATCCTAGTACAAGTGCAGGAGGTTACCCACCGTATATGAATTATCCACAAGTTCCTGGTTATAATTCTGGATTTGTAATAATATTTATTAAAACTGTCAATTGAAATACTCCTATAACATTATTTTTTTATATAGAATTCTTCTACACCAAGTTCCACTGGCACCATAACGGAGGAGCATATTAAAGCATCTCTTATCAGTGCAGTGGAAGACAAACTACGACGTCGCCTACAAGAAAAAGTTAATCAATATCAAGCTGAAATTGAAACACTCAATCGTACCAAGCAGGAATTGGTAGAGGGAAGCTCAAAAATTGATAACGTTATTGCACGACTTATCAGAGAGGAAGTAAGTAAAGAACTTATTTAACTAAATTTATTAAAAAGAACTTTTATTTAAGGTGGAACTTAAGAAAAATGTAAACATTTTGCGAGACAAGAAAGAAGAACTTGAAAAAAGTTTAGATGCATTAGAGAAGTCTGAAGGTATAGACCCAGACGAAGCCGTTACAACAACCGCGCCTCTATATAGACAGTATGTTTTTATATGAATACCTAATAATAAAAAAACTATATACATTTCTTTTTTATTCAGATTACTCAATGCATATGCTGAAGAAGCGGCTCTTGAGGATGCAATTTACTATTTGGGTGAAGCCTTACGAAGTGGAGTTATTGACTTGGAAACATTCTTAAAGCATGTACGTCAATTATCTCGTAAACAATTTATGCTTCGAGCTATTATGCAGAAATGTAGGCAAAAAGCTGGATTAGCGGGATAAATAACACAATGTCGTAGTGAAGTAAATCAAATAATGGAAATTGAATTTTGTTCCACTAACGTTGGAATCACTGAACAAAAAAAGTAAATATATTTATTTTTATGTATGTACTCCAATAAAAAGTTTGAAAGATTCATTAATTATAATCAAAAAATATCTGAAATTGAATATAACAAGTCTCATACACATATGTATATCCATTATTACGGATTAGTCAGCTGGAAATCAGTGATACTAAATCTCCCACTTGCAACAATTTAGCACATCTTTCTATTACTTTGTAATATAACAAGTATAAATTATATTAAAGTTTTGGTTACACAAAAAGCAATGTTTTGGTTTTTATTAAACAAAAAAACTGATAGATTCCTCAAAATACACTTTACCCATCGCAAAACAATTTATATGTATATACCAACTGAAAGCATTAGAAAAACTACTCCGAAACCTAGAAATATTGAAGCGCAAAAACTAATTGAAAGTTCTTTAAATAGAGTATGCTCCTTTGAATTCTTTGGTCGTGATACCACAAATACGAAAAACCAGGCGGTGAAAAAAGTACCAATTGTCAGCAGCACCGTAGCTAGGTGTGGAAACACAGCTGGATTTACGGGTGAAACATACCGTTGCATACTTTCCATGCTATTTCTAAAATTATTTAAGAAATTACATTTTTATTAGGAAAAAAAGTATTATATCTTACCTGTTTCTATATATTTTTATTATCCGAAGAATATATATTTTTATTATCGATTAGATATTTAACAAATACGTGGCCCGGCTTTGTAAATGTTTATAGCGATGCTCGTCATACATCGACTTTGTTCAGAAATGATAGATGCAAAAAAGCGTTATGAGCCATTCACATACAACTTTCCTCAAAAGTATAATGTTCTGTAATACATCTGAAGTATTTTTGACATTGCATCTATTAAACTGTAGTCAATGCGCAGTGGCAGAGAAAATCAAGTGAAGCTTTACATTAATTGTTTTAAATTCAAAGATTATGGCAAATAATGTACTATTAAAATTCCAAAATTGTAAACCATGTAATATAGTTTGGTTGGTCCATTTTAATGCCGTTAGAGTAAAATATATCCTTTTCCTCCCCAGGTAATAAAATCGTTTAATAGTCTTTGCTGTTATAAGGAACTAGGCTTAATTTTCATACCTTATATATATTTGCTTTTAGTTGATATTAATTATTTTGCATCAGCTGATGAGTGTCAAACTTATAGAATACCATATGTGTGACACACTGCTTTTACTTGGTTTCCTGAGCTTCTATTGTAGTACGGAAACCATAAGTTTGCTTTATTATTAGAAGTTTTAAAATATTGGTCCGCCAGCTGGATTTGGGTAAGTTGTTCAGTTCCTTCCTAGTTCCTTTTCACATGAGGCATTTTCGATACAATATGTATTCATGATAGGGTAATATAAAAGAAAGCTCACTAAAGTAGCAACTCTGCAGCGACCCATAGATACAACCCTGAGGGTGGCTGTAATACACTTGCCACTACATGAGTGAATGCAAAGAATACTAAAAAACAAGGCGGTCCGTGAAATATAGGGGAAATTAGTTGCAAAAAGAAGATTAATAAATCAAAACTTGGAATTAACTTATTTCAATGTTAGGTATTAACTTTATTACAAATGGACGAGGTAAGGAAACGCTTTAACGATTATCAAACGCACGTGAACTTTACAGATGAAATTGTATTGATTAGGTTGAAATAGATGGTGAGGATTTCAATGAGCTTGAGGCTAAGCTATATGGTCAAATACACCATGATGCTGTTGATTCGACAATGGCAGACGTAAATAATACAACTCAATGGGACCCGCAAGCACAGGAAAAACAGAGAATGGAGCGCGTTGTTACAGAAAGAAGTGTTATTTACCGACTTGCTAAATCCAGCCAAGTGCCCGACACACGCTATTGGGTGCACAACAACAAATGTATAAAAAGTGTACATCAATTAAAAACCACTGAGAAAGGTACGATGGAATAAATAGTATATATGTATATCTATTCCAAAAATATCAATTTTCACAATATTACAGAAAAATCTGCCGATTTTAGTGAGAAGCAGCCTGACAGTAATAAACCAGTATCCGCAGAACATCAAAGTCATAAAAATCAAGTGAAAATTAAAATCCCTGAAAGAAATAACACTGAAGATAATAATTTACGGATAAATCCGGCAGCGGTAGTTTTAAACTCGAAGCCATTTCAAAAAAACAGAAAACAAAAAAATATTCCATCTGCAGTGTCACGAAGTGGTCCATTTACGCAACAGGAAAATAAATTGCAAAAAGCCATTTTGGTTCAGGCTAAAAAGCTCAAATCAAAAAATGTTCGTAATAAAAAGAAAAAGCAACAACAGCGGGTTGAAACAATTGTATTAGATTCTTCTTCTGACGAAAAAAGTGGATCAAATAGCTCTGACGATGATGTAGTTTTAATACCATCGAAGCCTCCACCACTTATCACACTTTCTGACAGCGATAATGAAGGCTCCAAAATTCAACTAGAAGAGGAAAATGCTTTGGATGCTTCTGATGTTGTAGTGAATAGTAAAACTAAACAACCCGATTTTACAAAGCCAAATGATAAATGTAACAATTTTACGCCAGACGTACCCGAAAAAACTGCTGACCCAATCTCTAGTCGCTGCACTTCACCATGTTCTGTGTTATCATCGGATGACTTTATTGGTCAAAACGACCGTTGTCGCTTGCTAGAAGATAATTGCATGGCGGATGACCAAGATCTGGTTTTGCTAACAGCTGATGTTAGCAATCTAGTACCTCCTAAACGGAATCAGAACTCTTTGACGGAAGGGAGAGACGCTGCTCGCTATGATTCTTCTTCGGAGGATGTTATGTGTACCGCGGAATTTACTGCACCTTTGACAAACTCCATTGCTAATGCACAAACTGATTGTTCCAGTTCTAAGAAAGAACAAAATTATCGTGTGGAAAAAACGGATTTTAGAGCATTGGATGTTTATGAAAGTGAATCTGACATAACAGATAGTGTTTATTCTAAAGGCACAGGACATTCGAGAACAATTGTGAATGCAATTTATAGCAGCTCAGAGGCAGATGATGTGCAAAAAACAGTAGTTAATCAAAAAGCGAAACGCTTTTGTAAACGACGAACTTCCAGCAGTAACCGAGGTTCTGATGTTCATATTAATGAAGAAAGTACGGATGATGACTTGGATGACGGTGTGACTAAGACGCCTATACCATTTATTTTGCGTGGCTCTGCAGTAGAGCGCTGCAACAAGAAGTTACGCAACCTATTGTTAAGCACTCGTCGGTCATCAGTCGGTGCTGCCGGCAACACGGGTGGTAATATGTCTGACAACGAATTCATAGCAACATTAAATAGCTTGGTACAAGGACGTGGAAGCAAGGCGAATAATAAAATGGATGAAACAAAAAATAACGGAGATGAAAGTACGAGTGATCCGCACATTGAAGACGTGGAGAACGTGGAGCAAACTCAAAAAGAGAAAACGTTACCAGTAAGTGAGCCTAACCAAGCGAGTATGCAATCCGTTCAATCAGTTGACAGTACTCCACCACTGCAAAGTAATATCGAGGCTGTGCCTGATAAAGCAATGGCTAGATTAGATAGGAGAGAAGAGCAAAATCAAAAAAAGGAAACGTTACCAACAACTGAGCCTGACCAAGCGAGTATGCAAACCGTTCAATTAATCGATAGTACTCCACCACAGCAAAGTAATACCGAGGCTGTGCCTGACGAAGCAATGGCTGGATTAGATAAGATTTTTGCTTCTATAGATAATATATGTGCACCAATGTTAAAAAAGAAAACAGATGACTCAAACTCGGAAGATAGTTCAGAAAATGAAGTGGAAATTATTACACCCATAGTGCCAGTATCGATTGAGCTAGAACGAAGAGATGACCAGAACGTCTTACCCATCTACCATATTGTCTATAATGAACATAACTCGCAACCGGGTGGCGTTGGCTGGAATGAAGAAATGATGAAATTTTATAATCTTTCTTGGCATGGTGAAAAATTTACACTAGTTGGAGCACTAAATGGAATGGAAAGTAAGTAAAAATTAACAAATATCAAATGCATGTAATTGAACCTGTTTACATTTGATTGGATAATTTACAGGGGACCGAAAACTATGGAAAATTTACTCTGAGGATAAATTCCCTAAGATACGCCCGTATAGTAATTTAAAATGTTTCAACTGTTGTGAATTTGGCCATACTCGCGCTAAATGCAGACGCCCGAAAAAACCCACAGTTTGTTACATGTGTGGGGAAAGCGGTCATTTAGAACCGCGTTGTCCCAACACGATTTGTTTAAGGGTAACTTTCATTAACTTTCTTTTGTGCTTATATATTACTACAAATATATACATTTTGCTTATAGTGCGGAAATAAAACTCAAGTCTTTACGAAAAGTTGCAATGCTTGCACATTCCAAAATCGGCTTATTTGTCCGATTTGCAAAGTTCGTGGGCATTCGATTAATCTCTGCCCTGATAAATGGCGTCGTTACCATTCCACGGTACGTTTGTTTAGATTGAAACTATTTGTTAAATAAGTTTGTATAATAAAGTATAATTTTTCGTTAGACCCAACCCAATGCCCAGCCTAACAGTCAACTTGAGCTCAATAAGCGTAAAATGTGTTGCGTCTGCGGAGGTAAGGGACATTTCTCCGACACATGTCGCAGTGCAGTTCGTTTTATGGAATATCCAATTATTGTCAGCCATGTAAAATCACATCAAAAATCATATAGTGACATGCTGTTTAAATCTCCACGCTCTGGAATTGCCCTCAATCTTCTGTATAGACCCGGAGATGCAGTTGTTTTTCATTTGGCTGCAAAAAGTGAACGAAACGGTTATTATGAACGCTTCTTGAAAGCAGTTGGTTTGGGCGGTATGTTAAAACGAAAACGACCGAGTAATTGTTTGTCAGTTTCGCAAAATCTGTCTAAGAAAGCTAAGAATCTCTCTGGTCATTACGAACCGAACCCGTACGGTAAAGTAGCAAGAGAAGGCGTCCAATCTACAGATAAATCTCTTAGACAGGATGTAGTAACAGCAGAGGCTCCAAATCAGGTAAAATACATCATGTAGTGTAATCCATTTTATATAAATTTATTTTGTTTACTCAAGGTGCAGGAAGTGAGTGGTAGTGTGACCACGACAGAAGTTGTGTCGACGGCAGGAACAGAGTACTTTCGCTCGAAAAGTATTAATTCTGAAATTGTACAAAAGGGACAAAGTAACAAGGCCAATGTCCGCGTTTCCCAAATTATGCCAGAAACTGATGCTGGTGAAAACTCATTAAACATTGAAAATGAGTTTAAGACACCAAGTGAAGTACCAGCTACTATTACTGCTTTGCAAAGGTCTCAGAGCAAAGATAACTTAACTGTAGATTCAGACTCCAATTATAGTTTCTCAGATCATTTCGAGATACCACCAACAGCTGTTAGTACACAAAATCCACCACTTACTGAAGAAGAAGAAATGGATGCGCAACCATCTACGTCCGCTGCCGCTAAAGGCAAACGATCAGTGAAACCGGTTCGTGAAATGGAGCCATTGCCAGACTTTATACCGTTAGCAGATAACAGTGATGTGAACATGGGCGAAAAATGCGATCACTTTGCCACACATACAGGCATATCACGACGTTTTGTTGCTGCAGATACTGACGATGAGAATGGAGATGAAAACAAAAAAGAGCAAAATTCACCGTGTGAAGCTAAAGTTTACCTCACACCTTTTCATAGCAATTATTTGTTATCACCAGCCGGTCATGACTTCTTGGTACAAAAATCCAAAGAGTGTAATATCAAAGCAAGGCTCGACTGGACATCTGTCGGACATGTTTTGGTCATATTTGGACTTGCCTTTGATCAGGACACGTTTCACAAAGCCCTACTCGAAAAATGTCACGAATTGATGGACCAAATGAATAATAAACAATTAAGTGGTATCAAAGTGCCCAAACGCATAGACGCCTTGATTCGTTTTCTACGTGAAAATATCTCCCAGTTGCAGAGCGACTTAGGTGATGTAAATGATTTACAAAAGCGCATTAAGAATCTAGAGAAGACGCATACTAAAGCAAATATGAAACTGGCGGAAAAATTTCGTCGTTTGCTCAATATGATATTATTGGGCCAAGCTGGTCTCTGCGACGGAGACAAGCATTTGGACAAACTCTTAATTAATTTGAAATCGCTTATCAATGATTATCAAGCTGAAAATATGGTACCACAATCGCTACGCGAAGAAATTGATTCACACTGCAAGGTGATCTTTACTTCGTATCGGCATGATAATTATCCGGAACTTATTCAGACCTACAACAAGATGTCGAAAAATGAAAAACTTTATGTAAATATAGATCCATTGTTATTGGGGCAAAAAATGCTAGATGTAAGCCTAACACCTGAGCAAAAATTACGACTGGAACAATCACCAGCGTTAGTGCCTTTAGCACAACAGAGCAATCCAACATTAACTCCCAGGAAATCTACTGAAAACAACGTGTCTAATTCACCTTTCGCCGCAAAGTCAAGATTTCCCACGAAACAAAAGGACTTAACACAGCCACCAGTGGCACAAGCTACAATAACCAATGAATCTGTGTTCGTAGCGAAGGGCAAAAACAGACCACAAAACACTACAATAATTGAGACCACGGCAGATGATACAAAAGAGAAATCGAATATGAATACACCAGTTAAGAGGCACCATATTGTCCCGCCACCATTCATAAACCCCCAACAAAAATCTACAGTTATTACAAAAGTTAAAGAAGCTATACAGAATCAGCAGCTTGCATTTAATGATTTAGTGCGTATCAATAATAACGCTTCAGCTGGAGGGTATGGGAGAGCTCCTTCAAAGGGTCCTTCGGTATTTTGGTCTCGCGAATCATTGCGTTATTTAGATGAATGCATTCGCATGGCTGAATCAAATGCGGAGTTGTTGCAGAAGTTGCAGCGCATACAGACAAAATCGCTAGAAGGGTCGCTTTCATATAATGATTATCGCGCTGTAATTAAGTTACACGGCGCCATGGTGGGAAATTAAATTTAAGAAATGGACAAACACAAACTGATATGACGAAACGGATGATTGATGACTTTGCAGAATATCGAGAATATATGTATATCTGTAAAATTTCCGAGCGAATTCATTAAAATAATTGTGTGATTGTACAAAATAATATTTGTACCAAAGCTTGGAAGGTTTAAGGCGTAGTGACACTTTTTCTTTTAAAGGAATAAAAACTTCACAGACATAAAACAAAAAAAAAAAATATTAAATAAAACTGAACAAAGATATAAAATACAATTGAATCCTTGTTTTGCTAAAGTCTAAGAAGCCCATATTTGCAAAAATATCGACAATGAAACTTTATCTGTTAAAGTCACATAGAAATGATTAAGTTGCAATAAAATTCTATTTATTCTTCCCAATTCTATTACATAGGTAAATAAAAGAGCTACAAATAAATATTAAATTGATATCAGTTGGTTACATCAAACCTAACTGTGACAATCGATTAGTTTTTTTTTTTTGTAATTTTCGTGCACAATGCAGCTCCTTTGGCGCCCACGCATTATTGCACAGTTACTTATACTTATGTGTTACCAAGTCGTGTATCAGTTCGTTTAGCCTTGAGTGTTCCGTTTGGTTATAGGTGATAATTCAAATCCTTGTCCAGAGCCAAGTCATCAACATGTGTGTGCGAAGATTGTCGCAATAATTATCTAATCTAAGTAACTTTTAGGTACATACATATGTACATATATGCATGTATAACAGATAAAAACTCATCAATTTAAATCCTAATGTTACTAAAGTTTCTTATAAGATAATGTATCCAACAGTATTACCAACAGCGACTAGTGAACCTTATGAGCTAACTTTACGCTGCTGACGTCTGCTGTTGTTCAGTGGTGGTCGAACCCGCTGTTGAAGCCTCCGTCGACTTTTCTTTAATGGCCAACCATGGACAACGCTTCTGTAATTCCGCTCTATATCTAGGATGACTAATAGCGTACACGAATGGGTCGACGCAAGCTACCATTTTGCAAGTGCAGGCTGGTATCATGGTTACCCCCGGCGTCAGTAAGCTCTTATCACCAAATGCCCCAATCAATGACATTACTCCATACGGGGTCCACGATATGAAGAACAGGAAGCAAATGCAAATGGCTGCTTTCGCGATACGTATTTCCGCTGTTTCTTTGCTCTTGTCCACATTTGATCGCAAAGACTCAACATTCATTTTCTTGGCTTGTTCGCGTAGAGCTTTTTCATGACTAAAGACATGCCCAACTATTTGGCTGTAGTAATAGACGATCATCGATGTCGGACACACGAAGCTGCAAAAGAATATGGTGGCAACGAAAAGGCGCGTATCGAAGTTGTCCGTTAGGTAGTCGAAAGTGCAAGATGTTAAATAGCCCTCTAGAATAAAAAATATAAAGAAGAATGGTTTTAGTTTTCGAAAATGAAAATTGTGTTTAAAATACCGAGTTTTTATAACTGGTGAATAATTGTGCTATAAATTAGTATTACATATGTAATCAAACAGCAAAATTCATAATCATACATCCTCTTTTAAATTCATGATTAAATTATATAACGTTCTGTCGATGCGAAGCGTGCTTCCTCTTACGAAAGTGTTTGTATTCAAAATGTCAAAAACATTTTTTTTTTTTTTTTTATGAATTTTCTGTTCACAATTTGATGATTTTGTGTGATTTACAATCTATTCGTATTCAGTTATCACTCAAAAAACGCATTTCCAATTCTACTAAAGATTTTCCAGGAATTCGAAAAATTCAGTTGGCGCGTACGCAAAATTCCTATTCATACACCCATCTATAATCTGATCTAGAGCAAATATTTCAATTCCCCGAAATAAAGATTGTATTCTTTTGTCATAAATTATGCATTATTTTTACGTTCGGGAATTGGCTTTAAAAATGCCTCAGGAGGAAAAATCTCTAAGGGAAATTAGAAAAATTATACACCGAAGCCATGCAACGTATATAATTAATGTAAAAGCAATCTTTTGCGCAGAATTACGTCACTTTTAGGGAAAGAGGTACGTAAGGATCCAATAATTTCGGCACCAAAGCAAGCAAAAATGTTAACTGAATTCGCGCAAACTGTTCGTAACACTCTTCGAAAACAAATAATAAGAAGCAGATCCGCTGCAAGAATCCCTTATGTAAGTAACGAACAGAATGAAGCGTTCAATATTCGCCAGATTGTACAAAAATAAAGGTTTTCGATTCTGGAGACGTGTGTTATTCAGAGATGAATCTAAATTTAATATTAAATACAGTGATGGAAGGTAGTAAGGATGGTAACAATATGGCGCTATAAAAATAAACGTCTTCTTCACATAAACCTTTTGGCCACATTTAAGCACGGTGGAGGTTCCGTCATGTTTTGGGGATGTTTTGCTGCAGCTGGAGTGAGAAAACTTGTCCCCATCACTGGAATTATGAATTTTCTTAGTAAATTTAGAGTAAATTGATAGAGCAAATATAAGTCGTTCGAGAAGTGCTGAAAAATTATAATATTAATTATATAAAATAAAGTAAATAAATAAATGTTTGTTATTGGGCTATCGACAACCTCCTATAATTGAATCATGTTAGAGACCCTGATTTACCCAATCGTCCCCTTCAAATAATTTCAATGGAACTCTACTGAAAAAATATTAATTCGTCATCCTTCTAAATTTAATTTCACCTTAAGTGTAACGTTGTTCATTAAGTCAGTATATACCAGGGATGGTATCTGATAATTCTAAAGTGTGCCAAATTTAGTCCAGAAAATGTGAGAAAATGTAATTGAGAGTACCGAAATTAATGAGATAACACAATCGTCGTATAAAGTCTTTAGCCTGAATCAAATGTGGCTTGATGACTTATTTGTTTCTACATTTTGTTTTGATTAAATTTCGTATAGAAAGTATCCGCTTAACACAAGCACAAGAATGAGGTAGTGACAGCATTCCCTGTGCGATGCGGAAAAGATATTCATCAGAGATAAAATATTCGTTCTTTGACTCAAAATTCTGTTAAATCAAGTTGTTAAAACTCTTTTATCTCTGAATCGGTAGATAATGCTCTATAAAGAGAGTTTATATTCCTAATTAATTGCTGTAATACTTTTTACTACGATGAGAATTAAGATGTACATACATACATACATATTTTCGTCTTTCGTCAGTGTCAGTTCACACACGGGCTCTTTTGTAACCCAAACCGTTTTATTGTGGGCGAGGGGACGACGAGGTAAGACGAAGGGACTGTGCCACGCGTGCTGTTGTTGTTGTTGTAGCGACAGAATTCTGCCGAGTTGACAGTCCTTTGCCGGAATAAATCCAGGTCCGTTCCGGTTACGTAGACCCGACTGTTGTAGGAACGGTGCCACTCGTGTTCGGGTGGCACGCTTTGTGTTCTTGTTTTCCGCATTCCTTTTCACTTTCAAATTCTTTGAACGGTTGCAAGAGCGCTCGGTTTCAAATGAATATATACGATATGTTAGGAAATTTGAATGTCCTTATCTATTTTTGGTATGTTATATGGAAATATGTATGTATAGAATAATAGAAATATTTTGAAAAATTGTGAATAAGAAAATTAAGATACTGAAAAAAATTTAGTTTAAATTTTTAATAATATTTAGCGGTATTCAATGTAATAATATACCTATACATAAATGAATTCTAATAAAAATGGAGTTCTTTTACTTTTTTTATATTTACATACAATATTAAGGTGCTTTCATATTTATTTCTTTTAACCGAAAATGATTTAGTTCGATTATCATTTTATTTAAAATAAGAATTGTAATTAATTTATGAATGTTTTATAAAAAAAAAAATTAAAATATGGAATAAAAAATTATGGGTTTTTAATACTTCCTGAAATATTGGGAAATTCCTGTCATAAATTTGGCCTTAGTAGAAGGTATTCAATACATTCTGGTGGATTAGGGAATTACTATTAAGCGGGTATTATGCATATTGTTTTACCACATTCATGGTAATTTCTTGCAAGCAAAATGTGAGACCACCATCCCAATATACAAATGATTAATGCAACATACTCTAGGTGTCGCGTAGCCGAAGTGCACAAACATTCGAGAGGTGGTGGGTCAGGGAGTTGAAAAATCGGGACAAATCCGACTTCACATGTCATGTTTTTACATAAAACGTCCTGAGGGTACTATTTATGTTCAATATAGGATATCAAATTACATAAAAGCATAGCAAGATCCATATTTACATGTACTTGTATAACCTATTATATTCGAAAGTATGATGTCTTTTTGTTTTCATGTGGTGGTTCTCTCTTCTGTGCTCTAAATTTAAAAAAGGCTTCTGGAGCATATACTACATACTATATATTATTTTAACATTAGTTTTCCAAGAAAAAAAGTTTGAAAACATCATTTAGTCAAATTTGGATTTATTACGTTCATTAACAAGTAAGGAAGGGCTTAGTTCGGATGTAACCGAACATTTTATACTCTCGCAAAGTCAAATGGTATACTCGTTTGAGATTTCTTTGTGGATTGACTGATATTTTCGGTAGAAGGTCAACTATAGGCAATGGGGTCCATATATTTAGTACTTAGGGCTTTGAACAGTTTTGGTTCGATTTAGACAATTTTTGGCCGCAAGGTGGCATACTTTAATTGCATTATTCACGCAAAGTTTTACCCCGATATAATCATTGTTACCTGATTTGCATAGTGGAAAGTGAAAGAATCAGATGGAATTGAAAATGGTGTTACATGGGAAGTAAGCGTGGTTGTAGTCCGATTTCGCCCATTTTTGCACTATGACATAGAAACATGAAAAGAACGTTATGCACCGAATTTGGTTGAAATCGGTTGAGCAGATCTCAAGATATGGGTTTTCACCTAAAAGTGGGCTGTGCCACGCCCACTGACTAATTTTGAACGCGGTTCCTATAAAGCCAATTTATACCATCTCAGAGATAAAATTTAATGTCTCTGGCGTGTTTAATGCTTGATTTATCGCGCTTTTAGTAGTTTTTAACAGTACCGTTATATGGGGAGTGGGCGGAGTTACCACCCGATTTCAACTATTTTCACACCGTCAATAGAAGTGCTAAAAACATTTGCTTCTAGTGAATTTTGTTATTATAGCATTAGCGGTTTAGGAGATATGCACATTAAACCTATTAGAGGCGGGACCACGCCCACTTTTTAAAAAGAATTTTAACTGCAGATGTCCCTCCCTAATGTGATCCTGTGTACCAAATAACAGTCTTGTATCTTATTGCGGAGCTTAG